TTCTTTGTTGTTAAAAAGGATTAACTCCTGGTCTCTGTTCATGTCATGGATACTCTTCAGTTCCAAAAAAAACTCAGAATTTGCTTGTAGAAGGATGGCATGTCGATCGACTTAAGGAAATTTTCATCAAAGTTACAGTGAAGCAAGAAGTAGAAGACCCAAATTTCTTAAAGAAAGAACTTGGGATGACTTTGCAATTTTCTGTCCCCCGGCTGTCACTTTTTAGGAACCTTTGAATCCATACCAAACGTAAAGCCTTTCAACATGTGTTACACGCAGACCACTTCTTTCATAATCTTGATATAGAACTTCCCTTTTAATTTTGTCCTGCTTTTCCTTCCAAATAAATTTAAAAATTGAAGATTGAATTTTTGCAATGTAATTCTTGTGAATGTCTAGCACGGCAGCAGAGTGAACGATTTGTGAAATCCCTAGAGACTTAGCGATTAAACAGTGCCTGAAGTTCGAAAGTTGGCGCGATCTCAAGGTACCCAGCTTTGCATTAAGGTTTTCAATTTTTTGGTTGACATTTTTTCTCTCATTTCCTGCCTTATTGAAAGAGATATGAATCCCCAAGACTTTAAGCGGTTCTTTCATCCATATGAAGTTGAGAGGTCTTTCGGTACGCTGTTTCCATGGACCTAGCCAAAGAGCTTTGGTTTGGGATTCCTTGAGTTTTAGGCCAGATAAAATCCCAGACCCGTTTAGTGCGACCAAGGTGTTTTGGACCGATATTAGGTTACTGCAAGTGAGAGAGGTGTCATTCGCAAATTCGCTAATTTTAAGTTCCTTATGAAAGATAAAAATGCTGCAAATCGAGTTATCTTGCTGTATTTTAGTCGCAAGTATCTCCACAGATAAAATAAACAGATAGGGTGATAGTGGACAACCTTGCCTTACTCCTCGAGTCAACTTGAGCTGCTTAGTAGTGAAACCATTATTAATAACGGAACTCTCTGCATTACAGTAGAAAGTTTCTATCCAATGCTTAATAGAAACACCAAAGTTGAAAATTGAATGGACTTGTTGAATCATTGACCACTCGATTGTGTCAAAGGCTTTGCGAAAGTCAAGCTGGAGGAGAATGCCTGGTATATTTTCCAGTTCTGTCTGTTTTAAGAGGTCACATAGTAGACATATCTTCTGACCAATAAATCTGTCTTTCATAAAGCCTGTTTGGTCAGTATGTATTAGCTGCAGAAGTACCTTTTTGTGTCTAGTGTGAAGCACAGACACTATGAGAAAACGCTAAAATCCTCTGGTAAGTGCTTCATATATGGCAAATTATTACGTCATACGCATAAAGTTTCACTGAGGTTTCTCCTACGTGACACATTACATGAAGCATTCTTTACTGGGTACCAGGAGGGTAATATCATCGATAATCACTCGTAATCTCTTCGTGACCTGAAATAAACAACCAATGACAGTCGGAACCAATCGAATGTGTATTAGTAGAGACGACAATTGCGCCATCACCATGTGCTTTCCACGACAACTCCCAACACCTGCAAGAAAACTGATTACGATTTGCTTTTGTTGCAAAAAGTGGAGCTGGTCCGACAGGTTAAAGAGAGAGTAGTGATACATGTGTGATACGAGTTGTCCTATCGGTAAGTTACCTTTTAGTTTCTTACTTTGTGATGAATTTCCTAAGACGTATTTTCTCAGCATGTCACAGCTTTCGAAGTATATGTCAATCCGGCCGAATGAAAGGTTTCAAAAGGTGCTTCAAAGTTGAAGATCAAGGTACTTGGCGCCGAGAGAATCTCCATGCTGCAATTTTGCGACCGTATGTGAAGAGGATACAGATTAAGCTTTATGAGCCCCATTTGGGGAAAGAAAAGCCCGCTATGGGAAATATTGAGCCCCTTTTGGGGATAACAAAGCCTGCTGAGGGATTAAATAAGCCCTGTCAGGGAAATGTAAACGGCAGAAAATCTTTCGCCGCTGAAGGATTTAATGCGAAAATACCTTTCATTAGCCTAACATATACAAAAGCTGTGGCAATTTCCTTCCGACAAAGTCTTGTTAAATATCACCCAAGGGTCGTTTTTACTGAATCTTTCCATGCGATGG